ATAAAACTGATGATTTGCCCTTTAAACTTTCACTCAATTCACAATAAAAACTCTAAAAAAATTTTTTTTAAAAAGACAACTGACTGGAAGAAATCCATATTTGTTCCCATTCCAAAGAGAGGTGACCCAGTGGAATGTGGAAGTCATCAGACAACATCACTAATATGGCATGCAAGTGAAATTTTGCTAAAGGTAATACAAAAACAGCTGCAACCATACATTGACAGAGAACTTCCAGAAGTTCAAGCCAGATTCAGAAGAGGATGTGGAACAAAGGATGTCATTGCTGGTGTCAGATGTGTTTTAGCTGAAAGCAGAGAATAACAGAAAGATGTTTACCTGTCCTTTATTGACTTCGCAAAGGCTTTTGATTGTGTGGATGATGACAAGCTATGGATAACACTGCAGTGAATGAGTATTATGGAACACTTAATTGTGCTCATGAGGAACCTGTACATAAACCAATAGGCAGTTGTTCAAAGAGAACAGGGGAATACCAAATGGTTTAAAATTAGGAAAGGTGCATGCCAGGGCTGTATTCTTTCATCATATTTATTCAATCTGTATGCTGAGCAGATAATCTGGGAAACTAGATTATACGAAGAAAAACATGGACTAGAAGAAGACTCATAAACAACCTGTGATATGCAGATGATACAACCTTGCTTGCTGAAAGCAAAGAGTTCTTAAAATACTTACTGATGAAGACCAAAGACCACAGCCTTCAGTATGGGTTGCACCTCAATGTAAAGAAAACAAAAATCCTCACCACTGGACCAATAAACAATATCCATATAAATGGAGAAAAGATTGAAGTTGTCAAAGGGTTCATTTTTCTTTGATCAACCATCAGCACTCATGGAAGCAGCAGTGAAGAAATCAAATGACGTACTGCTTTAGGCAAATCTGTTGCACAAGTCCTTTTTAAAGTGTTGAAGAACAAAGAGTTCCATTTGGGTCAGTCTGCACCTGACCCAAGTCATGGTATTTTCAATAATCTTATATGCAAGTGAAAGTTGGACAGTGAATAAGGAAGACCATAGAAGAATTGATGCATTTGAGCTATGGTGTTGGAGAATACTTAAAAAGTACCATGGACTGCCAAAAGAACAAACAAGTCTGTGTTGGAAAAGGAACAGCCAGAGAACATTGGAAGCCAGGATGGCCAGACTTCATCTCTTATACTTCAGACATATTATCAGGAGGCACCAGTCCCTGGAGAAGGATGTATTATGTTTGGTAAAGTAGAGGGTCGGATAAAAAGAGAAAAGACCCCCAACGAGATGGATTGGCACAGTGGCAGCAGCAATGGGCTCAGGAATAGCAGTGATTGTGAGGTTCGTGCAGGACCGGGCAGTATTTCATTCTGTTGTGTGTAGGGTCACTATGAGCTGTTACAGACTCAATGGCACCTATCAACAAGAGCTCTATACTTAAAGTGCCCAAAGTCTTCCAAAACTTAGTCCAACATTGCTTTTAAAATTCTGTTGCCCTCTGCTGGCCCAACTGAAGCCTCTAATCTTTTTTCACTGTAAGGGCAACTTACTCATTTCAGACTCAGTGCCAGTTTAAAATTCTCCATCCTGCTTCCTTCCACCCAGAAAGATTCCATCCTTCCTCCCAGCCAAGCCAGACGGCTCTCATCTATCAAGCACCAGATCCAACACCCGTGTCTGCTGTCAAACTTTAACTAGTCTGATCCACTTTGGTGCCTTTGTCTCCTGGACTCTTTATTCTTAGAACGAGCATTCCTTTGAGGTTGTTCTCTGCAGGAACTTTTCCTTAAGGATCCATTAGCAGAATGAGATTACTAGGCCCATCTCTCTTACTCCTGATCATTTGTTTGCTCAGGAACTGCTCCATCAAAGTATAGGTAACAATTTTCATGAAAAATTTTTTTAAAGACTGACTTATACACATGGAAATATTTTTTTGAAAGTACATGGTAAAAGGACAATGCAAGAAAGTTGTTACTGAATGTTGTTGTTAAGTGGTGTCGAGTTGGATCCGACTCACAGCGACCCTGTATAGCGGGTGTGGGAACCTTTTTTTCTGTCAAAATTTACATCATCATTTGTGGGCCATACTAAATTATCAACTTAAAAATTAGCCTGCTATGTTTGGTCAAACATTTGATTAACTCATCCCTAATGTGTAGCACTGTGGGTTAATGCACTAAACTGCAAGGTCGGTTTGAACCGCAAGGTTGACGGTTCAAGCTCAACAATCACTCCTTGGAAATCCTATACAGGATCAGAATGAGTTGGAACCGAGCTGACAGCACTTAACAGCAGCAGCTACAAAGTGTTGCTATGAAATTCTAAACATTATTTTTTCTGAAACATAAAAATATCAGAACTGCCACCTTTGTCAGAAGTCCTCTCAGTCAAACTTCCTGAGTGCTAACAGTGACAGCAACAAAAATATTCCAGGAAGCTAGGTTATCCTTAGAACAGTCTTATAAGTTAGAGCTACCCACCTCAAATTGCATAATTTCCCTTAATAGCCCATTACATAAATCACTCATGAGTTCACCTAACCTATTTATATACACACAACTTAGGGCAAAATTCTTTCTCCAAACCTGCAACTCAGTTTAAATAATGCAATCAGAACTCAGTGGATACAGAAAGAGCAGGTTTGGAGGAAAGGTTATGTTGAGATGTTTTTAAGTTTTAAACATATTTTAAACATTTTTTTCCTGCTTATACAGTTTTATATATCTTTAAATAGCATGTTATAAGGGAACTTGTATGTTAGGATAACAAAACTTGGACATAAAAATTAAAAAATGACTGTAGTTTAAGTTAAAAGAAAATAATAGGAGCAGTCAGCACCCAACAACTAGTCATGCTGCATCTGATATAATCGCCCATCCTCAGAAATAGATTAGGATCGGCACAACACTTAATTTGACTAAGATAGTCACAGCCCAAAAAAGGTTTGGTTCAACTTCATTCAACAATCTAGGTCAGGAAGAAGAAAAGGAAGGCAATTCATCAAGACACATTTTACATCAAGGAGAGATGAGGCTTGATTAAATGAGTTGCAACTTTATTTTACTTAAAGAGCTGTTCCCAGAAAAGGATGTGTCTTGATTACATTATTATTGCAAATAACAACTACTTGTTATTTTTATAAGACAAAGGAAGAACACTAGAATCAAGACATAATAGAGCTCAAAGAAATCTTTTATATCAGACTCATTAAAATTTCAATTTACAGTCCCTTTGCCCACTTGGTATTATTGTTTCAAAGACTGCTGAAAATGAATGTTTTTATATTATTGTCATTAAGTGTTGTCGAGTCAGTTCTGACTCATAGTGACCCCATATAGGGTTTCCAAAGAAAACCGAGTGGGTGTGAACTGCCAGTTTTGCAGTTAACAGTCCAGTGCTTATCCTATAGCACCACACCAAAACTCTGTTCTTATATTTGTTGTTAAGTGTCAATGAGTCGGTTCTGACTCATACTAATCCTGTATAGGGTTTCTGAGGAATGGCTGGTGGGTGTGAACCACCAACCCTGTGGTATAGTGCTTTATCCTACAGTGTCACACCAGGACTCTGTTCTTATATTGTTGTGAAGTGCCATTAAGTCGGTTTCGACTCATAGCAACCCTATACAGGGTTTCTGAGGAGCATCTGGTGAGTTTGAACTGCTGACCTTGCTGTTCAAACCAACCTTGCAGTCCAGTGCATTATGGGGGCTTCAAAACATTCATGGAAGACTCTTATTATCTTTCAATTTCATTTTTCCATCAACTGTTTGAAACCCCTCATTGTATTTTTAATTAATCTTCACTGTTTTCCAGTTCTCAGCAAGTCACGCCATCTCTATTTTGCTTTCCACTATAGACCATAAATGACTAGTCAGATGAAAAGGCATGACTGTCCTGTAAAATTGTCTCACGCGAAGGAAAGATTTGAATCTTTCAAATCAGGAGAACTGAAGAGTGCTACAATTAGGGGCTTTATTCTTTCTATGCAGGCATGGATTCTAGGTACAACTGCATTTCTGATAATGTTTCTATCACATGAGAATGACTTCAGCTATTGTCAGTTCTAATGTACAATACCAGAAGACAAGAGGTACTGTTGGAGCCAAGGAAGGGAAGAAGAGCTGTCATGGCAGCTGTTCCACCTTGACTAGGGTACTTACGGGGCAGTGAGGTAACCCTCCAAAAAGCCAGCTGCAAACATGATGATCTCATTGCTCAGGGTCTGAGAGCCATACCCCGCTTTGATCTCCAGGATGCCCCAGCCTGTAGTTTGCATGGAGTCATTGTAAAAGCCATACGCATCTCCATTCTTGTCCAGTACGTTTTTGACTTGTATTGCCTTTTCAGAACTCATCCAGTACGCAGTTGCATAGTATATTTCTGGAAGAAAAGAAAAGGATATAATCATAGGACACTATTTAACTGAGTTGTTAAAGACATTCATTTTGTTAGAACAGGGAATCTGGCTATGTAGTTTGTTCTTGTTACAAGTGGAGAAAAAAAAAAAAAAAAAACAGATCAAAGGGGATGAACCCACAGCTCACAGAACAAGACTGAAGATAGGAGCAGAGTTATAGCATCATGTGCATGGGCTAAAGTGTTTCATTCTTTGAGGGCTGGGCAGGGCCAGGGCTGCCTAACTTCTTAGTCAAATATAGGGTTTGCATGCCTGGTCAGCAGCTTCTTCCATACCCCTCAAAAGTTGGGCCAAAGCATCACCATTCTCATAGATTCACTATCCTATCTCTTCTGCTTAATTTTTTCACACGTGGCATTAGATTTCTATTTCCAGAAAAAAAAAAAAAAATTGAAATTATCATCTCTGAACTCATCAACTTCTAGATCATTTTATGAATTCTTCCAGATGAATCTTTGACTGATTCTCATCTCTCTTGTCGACCTCAATCCTGCTACATGTGCTCTGGGACCCACCGCTCTCATCTCCTTTAAGAACTTTCTTCCATACTAGATATTCTTCTATTCCTATGTCTTATGGTTTTCTCTCTATCTGTAATGGCTCCTTCCCATTCAGCACATTAACATTCCCCATTGTCTCATAGCTAAAAACAAACCAACCACAAAAACCCTCTCTGGATTTTGTGACCAGTTTTAGCCACTACTTGAATCTCTCACTCCCCCTTTATGAATTTATAACAGTATTTACTGTGTCTATTTTATATCAGGAATTCCTGGGTGGTGCTAATAGTTAAAGCGTTTGGCTGCTAAGCAAAAAGTTGGAGGTTTGAGTTCAGTCACAGGTGCCTTGGAAGAAAAACGTGGCAATCTACTTCTGAAAAATCTGCCATTAGAAACCCTAAGGAGCACAGTTCTACTCTGATACACATGGCATCACCTTGAGTTGGGGTCTACACCAGGGCAAGTGGTATGCTATATCAGAGACTCTGCTGGAAGCTGCTGTAGGGCAGTGAACACAAATGCCGAATTCCAGGTCTCCGCTTCTGGAGAGAGCAGTGAGTGCATTCACATGCACTTCATCTTCCTCACTCCACCTTTGTGATCCATCTAGGGTCCATGCCCACTACTGTTCTTGACTGCATTGCTAATGAAATCCTTAAGTCTTGAGGGCACATTCCAAAGATATTTGACCCTGGTATCCACTCCCTCATTCTTAAAATATTTTTCTCCATGATATATGGGACACCATTCTCTTCAATCTCTTCCTTTGCCTGTCTCTTTTCCTCATTCTCCCCAGTGAGGAGGTTCTCTATCTTGTATACCCAAATGCACACCTGGTAACACCATCTGGATGATTCCCAAATCACTAAAATTTCAATTAAAAAAAATTCATATTCCCTCTGAATGCATCCTCCATCTTCTGCTGTCTCCATGAGCTATCAGTCTGAAACCCGAGTCCATGCTGAAAACACCCCTCCCCATCCCAACTCCATAACTCATACTTAACCAACCAAGACCTCCCAAGCATCTCACCAATCTCTGCCTCATCATCTCTCTCTTTCTACACTAGCTCAGGCATCACAGCTTTCCTAAACTATAGAACAGGTCTTTTAAAGGTTCCTCTGACCTTTAATTCATTCTTCATATTCTCCAAAAGAGCAGGGTTGGAGAAAAAGAGGAAGACCCCTAGGAGATGGATTGGCAGAGTGGCAGCAGCAATGGGCTCAGACTGAGTAACAATTGTGAGGTTGGCCCAGGACTGGGCAGTGTTTCGCTCTGTAGTGCACAGAGTCACTATGAGTTGGTATCAACTTAATGACACCTAACAATGACAACAAAAAGCAAAAATAATTTACTAACTTGCCTACTAAAATTCTTCAGTGATTTTCATTTATTTCCTATTTTCTTTTTTTGGCATCCCTGGGTAGGCACAACATTGTTTTTTATTTTTTATAAACAAAATTCCTCAGCTTATCCTGTAGGTCTTCATACTTGGCTTTTAGCTGACTGCCTATCTTCATCACCACCAGCCCATGCACTTGATGATCCAGAAATCATCATTTATACCTCTCCAAGGAGCTCTGGTAGTGTAGTGGTTATGAGTCAGGTTGCCAACCTCAAGGTCAGCAGTTCGAAACTACCAGCGGCTCTGCGGGAGAAAGATGAGGCTTTCTGCTCCCGTAAAGATTTACAGCCTCGGAAACCCTGTGCAGGGTCACTATGAGTCGGAGCCGACTCTACCATACTTAACAACAACAACAACTCACCATGGTAAACACCGCTGACTTTGCATATGCCGTTTCCTTGATTTTTCTCTCTTGCTAACCACCCAGCAACCTCAAAATTGCTATTTAAGATTCAGGAAGCAGCACTCTTTTGTAAGGGTTGACTTTCTCTAAAAGTTCAATGTACCTTGAATATACCTTTGTTGTTGTTGTTAAGCACCGTCTAGTTGGTTCCAACTCACAGTGACCCTGTATAGGGTTTCCAAAGGAGTGGCTCATGGGTTTGAACAGTGGACTTTGTGGCTCTAACTGACCTTACCAGTCCAGTGCTTTATCCTGCAGGGCCAGGATACCAGGACTCCATGTATACCTTTAGTGAGGCTTTATCACCTCTATAATTTACATGTTTGCCCCTGGCTGTGACCTCCTGGGGGCCAGGGACTATTTCCTCAGCACCCAGTACAATGAAAGGAGAGAAGGAAAATCAGGGGTGGGGGTGGGGGGTGTTCCTAAGGAATCAGTTCACATATGCTCAGGTTAGATAAATGTTATAAGCAGGTCATCAAAGAAATACTAGGAGGCTGAAGTTTGAGACCTTTAGGAGAGGAAGGAGATGATGAATAGACCTGGGAAGGAATTGGTGAACCCCTATAATAGGGTTTCCTACGTTGTACATCTTTTCAAGAGCAAAAAGCTTCATCTTTCTCCCCATAAGTGGCTGGTGGAATCAAACTGCTGACCTTGTGGTTAGCAGCTCAACACTGTGCAACCGGGACTCCTTCCTATAAAGATTGTTGTTGTTGTTGTGAAGTGTCTTCAAGTCAATTCTGATCCACAGCAACCCTGTATAGGGTTTCTGAGGAGCAGCTGATGAGCTTGAACCACTGACCTTGCAGTTCAAACAACTTTGCAGTCTGACGCATTAGCCCACAGCGCCATACCAGGACTCCTTGGGAAACCCTATGGGTAGTATGGCTCTGTCTTATGGGGTCTCTAAGAGTCAGAATCAACTTGATGACAGTGGGTTTGGATTTTTGGTTTAATTACTGGCAACGTTTTAAACTGACTCAACATTTTATTGTTTGATGCAACTCTGGTAGCGTAGTGGTTACAAATCGGGCTGTGGACCTTAAGGTCAGCAGTTTGAAACTACCAGCTATTCTGTGGGAGAAAGATGAGGCTTTCTGCTCCCGTAAAGATTTACAGCCTCAGAAACCCTGTACAGGGTTGCTATGGGTCGGCATCGACTCAACAGCACTTAACAGCAACAACATTGTCTACTAGAAGTCCTGGTGTGGTGCTGTGGGTTACTGTGCCCGACTGCAAAGCCATTTGAACTTCAAGGTCGGTGGTTCAAGCTCACCAGCTACTCCTCGGAAACCCTACAGAGGGTCGCTATGGGTCGGAATCCACTCGACGGCACTTAACAACAACAACAATTGTCTACTAAATAAGTTTTATACTAGAGCAACATGGCAGGCTGGTTGAGTGATAGGCTGGGACTTGGTTAGGTTTAGAAGTTAATAGTGATTATGATCCTTTAGGAATGGTCTCAAATCGATAGGTCTCTGATTTCCTCAATTTACTTCTGAGTAAAGTCATGACTAGGAGCATGGTAGCGTAGTGGTTACGAATCGGGATGCGAACCACAAGGTCAGCAGTTAGAAACTACCAGCTGTTCCGTGGGAGAAAGACGAGGCATTCTGCTCCCGTAAAGATTTACAGCCTCGGAAACCCTGTACAGGGTCGCTATGAGTTGGAACCAACTCCACAGCACATAACAACAACAACAAAGTCATGCCTATTATAGCAGACTGTCTTTACAAATGGTTAAGTTTGTTAATAAACATAGGCAAGTGCAGAATACTTTGTCAGTAGACTCAGGGCATCAAATAGCAATCTAATTGCAAATGAAGCCAATTATCCACCTACAGATCCTTCCCACAATTTGGTAATTGTAGGCAGTATCCATAGAAACCTCCCTTCTCTTCCCAAACACAACACAGGCAGTCCTTAAGTTAAAAACAAAATCAGTTTTTCGTGTGTCTTTAAGTCAAATTTGTAGGTAAATTGGAACAGGTGCATAGGCTTCTTATTTACTTAAGTTCAAGAAAAGACTCCAAGACTTTTCCATGATTTAAAACTTGCATGTGCAGCAAATGAAGGTTAGTGTGATGAAGAATCTGTTACAAGTACGGATTGGTTCAATTGTTTCAAAATCAGGGCAAATTTACATAACATTAAAGGGCAAATATGGTGTTGGAGAATATTAAAAGTACCATGGGCTGCCAAAAGAACAAATGAATCTGTGTTGGAAAAAGTGTACAGCCATAATGTTCCTTAGAAGTCAGGAGGTGAAACTTCATCTTTGGACATATCACACTTTGGACAAATAAATCATCAGAAGGGATCAGTCTTTGGGGAAGAACATTATGCTTGTGAAAGTGGAAGGTCAGTGAAAAAAGAGGAAGACCTCCAATGAGATGGATTCACACTGTGGCAACAGCAATGCGGTCAAGCGTAGAAATGATTGTGAGGCATGCAGGGCCAGAAAGGGTTTCATTCTGTTGTGCTTAGGGTTGCTATGAGTCAGTATCAACTCCACAGCACCTAACAACAACAAGTAAATCAGACTTTCTAAACTGGGGATTGAATGTAAATAAAATGCCAGATTACACAGTAAGCAAGGTAAGCACAGGCTTACGTGTCTTTACTTATATGTAGTGAACAA